TTTTTTCCTTCTTCTTCTTATAGTTTTGGAGTTCCAACGTTATCGTTAGTATTTTGTAAAATTCATTTTTTAAATAAATCTAGAAAATGCATCCTTAAAAATCATAAATCATTTTAAAAAGAAAATTTATTTTTGATTGATGTAGAAGTAAAAGTTGAAGCAAAAAATAGCATTGACCTTCGTAACCGAAAACAAATGAAGCAAATACAAATTAGCAATACATTTAGTTCTCGCACAAATCGACCAAAGACCCTATGATACATCAAATTAGGCTCGCAATGAAGACTAAAGTCTGTAGTGTCATATGATAATTGGATTTATTAATTTAGTATGTAATCATTTATTGTGAAATTAGGACTAAACTATCTTATCCACCAAATATTATAATTGTCCATTCTTTTTTAGGGTAGCTGGTACTTTAGCCATTATATAAGATATTGCGTACATGAAACTATGAAAGTATTAATTGCATTTAATCAAGTAGGCCCAGCTAGCAAGAGAAGGAGAAAAGGTGTGTTATTAAAAAAAAAAGTTTTGTTACTTTCTTTTAAAATTATTTTTCGATTAATGCAATCTTATATATAAGTTAATTACTTATCATGGAAACCTAGTATTAATCGGATAACTTATAACAATCAAATGACATGGAGAGTATATTTTAAAATTTTGGATATAATTATTTTTATCGTGATCTCTATTTAATTATTAAGTTTTTTTTAGAATTTGTTATATTTTATTTAGTTAGACACATGTTATTAGAAAATTAGTACATTAGATTCTATTTTTTATTTTCATATTCGAGTGCTATTAGGATTTTTATTTTTCTTATTTAAAGAGTTGTCATAGAATTTTGGTAAAAAACAAAAATTGAGATTTTTTTTTATAGCTTATATGTTCTTTTAATGGTTATGAGTTATGCGCATAGGGTTTTTGCTAAGGTGGGAATTTTTATTTATTAGGTGTGTGGATGATATTTATATAAAGAGTGACGACTTGATATTCCTCCTTGTGTATGTGTGTGTGTGTTTGTCTCTCTCTCTCTCTCTCTCTCTCTCTCTCTCTCTCTCTCTCTCTCTATATATATATATATATATATATATATATATACACACACACACACACATATTGAATACTTTTATTTTGTGTAATTTAATAATGTGAATATTTGCATTAGGCTCGCATAATTCTAAAAATGTAATGATATTTAAATTAATTACTTATATTATTTGTTTTATTTTTTTAACATACTAGGTGCTAAAAATGTCACGAGATAGAGAAGAAAGAATAGAATAACAACAACCTCCAAGTCGGACATTGGATGGAAATTTGCTATTTCATTGGATGGCAAGTACAAGTAAGCTACAATGCAAGTACTCGTGGAAGGGTGATTAAAGGAGAAATCGCTTGTATCAAAGAGCATATAGCTCATTAAAAAAAAATATTGATGGTTGCTTAAGTGTTCCCAATGATGTTAAAAAAAGATATGATGAAAGTCTTAAATGATTACAAAGTCACGAAGCAAGATAAAGTCATCAAACAAAGTGAGCTTCAAAATGACATTATGGATTCTCTTATCCGAGAGCAAAGGGGTGTCGGTGATAATGAAGATGAAGAACTCATGTCTTATGCAAAATAAGAGAGTTCAATCCAACATGAGAGGGACAATTATAAAGTAAGCATAGGAGATTTATATGAAGAGAGTTCTAGTTCCGGTTCTACAAGAGGACAACACGAACAAGCTCCTATCATGCGCCATTCATAAAGTTTGCACGAAAGAGCTGGTTCAAAAAGATGACATAGTGGTGTTCCATGAATTCCTCTATAATCAACTTCAAAGGAACCATTGGTAAAGTTACAAGAAGATGAAGTGGTCTTGCAAATGACTACAAAAGAAAAAAAATAAAAGTCAATGAGTTCTCGGTTATATAAAATTGGGAAAGCACCATTAAGAAAAGCGAGTTGGACATTTTTTTGTTCATGAGAGAATCCCATTCTGCTGTGGAATCTCTTTGGTTTTCAACAATGATTAAAACTATCGTTAAAGTTGGTTTCGAATTCCACCTCCTAGATCCTTATGATATTTTAAAGGTGTGTTTGAGAGAAGAGATGACAAATATAAAGAAGTATATTAAAGATTATGAAAATATCTAGAATGATAGAGGTGTCACAATCATGTGTGATGGATGGTCCGGACCGACTAAAATGCACATCATTAATTTTTTGGTTTATTCAAATCGAAAAATGTGCTGATAAGGGATGCTGAATATTATTTCGGGTTGATGAAGAAAGTGGTGGATGAAGTTGGTGAGCATATAGTGGTCTAGATAGTGACCGATAATGAAGCTCGCTATGAAAACTACGGGGAAAAAGTTAATGTAGGTTTGTCCTCACTTATATTAGTCGACTTGTTTTGCTCATTGTTTGGATATGGCTTTAAAAGACATTGGAAAAAAATTGAAGGTCAAAGAAGTGCTTGAGAAGGCAAAAAAAATTACCCAATTTATTTACAATTATAATTGCATAGTTAAAACTATGGTTTATACTATAGATATCATTAGTTTTATTGAAAATTAATTATGTACTCGTTTACATAACACCATTAGTCTCTTTGGTTCAAAAACTAATTTTTTTTGTCATTTTTACTATTTCAATGTTTTTATTTTTTGTTTTAAGAAATAGAGAAAGAATAAAAAAAATGAAAAAAAGCATTTTTAAAAATAAAAAAATAAATTATTCGTGGTCAACACTAATTTAAAAAATTTTAAATTTTATTTTTCAAACCAAAATAATTAATTCATTCTTTTTTTCAAAAGGAGAAGAACTAATTTATAATTTAATTTGCAATTTAAGAATCTATTTCATCATAAATTAAGAAGTAAAATTTATGGAAACCAATTTTGTAGTAGTTTTTATTTCAATTGATTGACTTTAACATATTCCGTATAACTTAGATGATTTTTTTTTCTTGAAAAGAAATTGTTTATACTATATACTCGAATATACTAAATAGGATCATATTATATATATCATTAGTTTTATTGAGAATTATTTATGTATCCGAATACATTACAACATTAGTCCCTTCAGTTCAAAAACTTTTTTTTTGTCCTTTTTCTATTTCAATTGTTTTGGTTTTTTGTTTTAAGAAATAGAGAAAGAGTAAAAAAAAATAAGTAAAAATATGAGAAATTTTTTTCTAAAAAAAAAAAATATATTTGTGGTCATCACCGATTGAAAAAATTAAGTAATTTATTTTTGAAACCAAAAGAATTAATTAATTCATTTTCTCAAAATGAGATGAACTAATTTATAATTTAATTTCCTATTTAATAATCTCTTTATCATAAATTAAGAAGTTAACTTTATGAGAACCAACTTTATAATATTTTCATTTCAATTTATTGACTTTAATATATTTCATATAACTTAGATGATTCTTTTAAAAATTTATTTATACTATATACTCTAAATCTACTAAGTATGATGTGTCTATATATATATATAGAGAGAGAGAGAGAGAGAGAGAGGGAGAGAGAGTTTTCTTAGAAATTAATTATATAATTGCACACATAATACTAATTATTTGTTATTTATTTTTTTTTATGTTCTAAAATCAATATTTTTTAAAATAAAATAATTGAAATATATATATCGTTAGTTTTGTTAGAAATTAATTATATATCTACACACATAACATAAATTATTTGTTATTTATTATTTTTTATGTTCTAAAATCAATATTTGTTAAAATAAAATAATTGAAATATATATATCATTAGTTTTGTTAGAAATTAATTATATATCCGCACACATAACACAAATTATTTGTTATTTTTTATTTTTTATGTTCTAAAATCAATATTTTTTAAATAAAATAATTGATGTAATGTTTTGAAAGAACATTTCAATTATTTCAATACAACTTTTTATGCTAATATTATTGATTATTTTGTTAATAAAAATATATAAATCAAACGATTTTGCTTAATAAATAAATTTGATTTATATTAATTATAAAAAATAAGATTTTTACCGATGTTATACTATACGAATCGTTAACTTTATGTATCATAGTAGAGATATCTAACTAGTTATAATTAAATAAAATAAGCGAAGATTATGAAAAGCAGTCTCAAAAAAAAAAAAAAAAAAAAAAAAAAAAAAAAAAGATGATCTGTGTGGTTATGTTATCAAGAGCAGGACGTTCTTGGACCCATCATGATCAACACCCACGTCCTATTATCAGCTAAAACCATCCTATCAATCAACTGATCTCTGTGAATCTGTCCTTATTGGCAATAGAAGAATTCCACCGCGTAGCATTACCTCTCTCTTCTTCTCGTCTTCTCTTGCAATCTCCAGAATCTAAACATAATATAATCCCATAAAAACCAACAACTTTCAACTTTTTGGCGGTGAATATCCAACAAATAAAGAAAGAGAGAAGAAACCAATATAAAGGTATGCACTTTCATACTCAACTTACTCTATATGGAAGCCCCAAACTCTCTTTCTTTCTTTTATATGTACATATATTCTTTAAATTCACGTTCCGGGTTTTTTTTTGGTTGATTGCTTACCTTGTTTTTTGTTTTGAGTTGTAGTTCTAGTTTGATTACATTTTAAGCAGAGTTATTCTGTCTTCGTGATTTAATCAGCTTGGTTATGACCCTGAAAATGATTTCTTGATAAAAAAAATTTTAGTTTTTGTTTTCATAGTACGCTACGGTTTTTTCTTGGTCAACAATTTTGCTAAATAAGGGAATTTGGGTCGCTTCAGAAACTTCTTGTCGATAATGATATTTCTCTGTCGAAATTAGGAACCTTGAAAACTTCAAAGATAGTGTTTATTTATTTATATGCAATTACATTATGTTTTAATAGATTAACAAATTGGTATTGTGAATGTGATATTTTATCAAGTTGTGTAATTTCATTTCTTTGTAATTCTTAAAATCTGAAATTTTCCAACGTTGCTGTACAACAGAGGCATCTTGTAAATGGCTCAAGATACTTCTCCGGGTGTTGTTTCACCTAGGAGGCGGTCTGGTCTCTTGAGAGATCAGGTTCAAGTGGTCAAAAAGAAGGACTCCGATCGCTATGAGATTGTTCCAATTGAAGATGCATTGTCGTTCGAGAAAGGTTTCTTCGTAGTAATCCGTGCATGCCAGTTACTGGCCCAAAAGAATAACGGATTAATATTAGTAGGAGTAGCAGGTCCTTCTGGGGCGGGAAAAACAGTATTTACTGAGAAGGTGCTCAACTTTTTGCCTAGTATTGCTGTCATAACCATGGATAACTACAACGATTCAAGTCGAATTATTGATGGAAATTTTGATGGTAAAATCTCATGCTCATTTCTGCCCTATAGGTTCATATCAATAACTTCTGTGGCTCCATCTATTTTTACTAATGGAATATTTAAGGGGATAGAATGAGATTTGAGAATGTTTATGGTTCTACCACCAAGTGACTGGGGATAATGATTGGTATTGGTCATTGTTAAAGAAAGAAAGAGAAAATTGAAGGAATGATTATTAAGATATGAGGAGCTCTAGAGGATAGTCGTTCAATCTAATATAAGATCGGCAAAATTTACGACCTTAAGCTCTAAGTACCAGGTGTTTCGACTAAACACTTGGAGAGCTCAAAGAAGAAGTAAATTAAGGTGATAGTATAAATGATCTTAGATATACATTCCAGATGGTGGACGGATGCATTATTGTGGCACATATGGAATGGCTTCCAGATGAGATGATGGACAATTATGGAAAATAAATTATACGCTGTAGATAAATTTATTAGAAATTTAACCATGGTAATCTATATATTGTGAATATGAAAATGCCCGTGAAATTGATTTCTGGTGATGTAGTTTATGAGTTAACTTAGTTTTGAGTGACTGTAACTAGAGGGGGAAAAAAAGCTACTTAATTTTTAGTGAAAAGTGTTGAAGCTGTAGAGAAGTCCCAAACTTTTACAGTCATGATCATGGCTCACAGTATCACCCCTATGTGATCTGTAGTTTTGGACTTAGGACTTCTGACAGCAGTGAATTTTCTTAGAAGTATGCAGGAAAATGATGCATTGTCTCACAATGCTTTCAAACAAACAAGTGTCCTTCGTTTATTCTCTGCTGCTTGTTATCCTTTTATTAAAACATCTCACGGTAGATATCATGCAAGATATCTTTGATGAAGATTACTTGCTCTGAGCCTTCTACATTAGAGGATCATCATTCTAGTTTGTGTTTAAGGTGTGGAAATATACTCATTTAGCTTGTGGAAAGTGTAATTTATTTATCTTGTATCTATGATGCTAAACTGCATGTGCATCAAGCATACAATTGAAGGATTTAGTGGGTATTCTATGATGTGAAAAGCTTGCCAATAATAAGGTTATTTTTGAATTCTTCATGCATTTCACTTTCTTATGGTTCTTGCAAATTGTAATGAGAGAATTGTATGTGCATATTTTGTTCAGCAGCTGTCTCTTTTAGGAAAGTTTTTAATCACTGATCCTTCAACATAGTGATCAGAGAATGGGGATTGGCAGAATTCTAATGGTTGTAATTTTTTGAAACAGACCCACGGTTGACGGATTATAATACACTGCTCGATAATATACATGGTTTAAAAGCAGGAAAACCTGTTCAGGTTCCTATATACGACTTCAAGACTAGCTCTCGCATAGGTTACAGGTTCTGGTTCTCTCTGGCCTATTTTTTAATATATGAAAAATCCTATCCTATTACCAACCGAAGGAGAGGAGCTTGGGGTGAAATGAATTATGATGCACTCCTGGAGACCCTCATGTTTTAGAATATGCCATCAAGAGTCAGATCTGCTCATTTGGACGTCTAGTTCAAGCTTTCTTGCTATGTCCATGAGTTCATAGTATCTCTGTTTTTTTTTTTTTTTTTCACTTCAAAAAAAATCTATTTGTTCCTCAGAATAATTTTTTCACTGTACTTCAAACAGGACTGTAGAAGTCCCTAGCTCCCGCATTGTGATTATTGAAGGCATCTATGCCTTAAGCGAAAAAGTGCGACCTTTATTAGATCTTCGTGTATCTGTCACGGGTGGAGTTCATTTTGACCTTGTCAAAAGGGTTTTGCGAGACATTCAACGGGCTGGCCAAGAGCCTGAAGAAATAATTCATCAAATTTCAGAAACGGTGATTTACTGATCCAAGTTTATATATTATCCTTTAGCCTAACTGTGTACTTTTTATTAAGCATTTCGTTGATGTGCTTCTGATGATTTCCAAATTCTTTAGATATTATAGTAGTTCTTCTGAACTTATTTATTGTTGGTTCAACAGGTTTATCCCATGTACAAGGCTTTTATTGAGCCAGATCTGCAAACTGCCCACATTAAAATCATCAACAAGTTTAATCCTTTCACTGGATTTCAGAGTCCAACTTACATTTTAAAAGTAAATTTCCATGCTTTTTCCTGTCAAATTGTTAATAGTTTCTCATGTTAAGTGCCTTCCATGGTTACATTCTTCTTCTAACTCTAGATCTACTTTCTTTCATTGCAGTCTACAAGGTCAGTGACAGTTGAACAAATTAAGGCTATTCTTTCTGAAGAATATAAGGAAACAAAGGAGGAAACTTATGACATATATCTTCTACCACCCGGTGAAGATCCTGAAGCATGTCAATCGTATCTAAGGATGAGAAACAGGGATGGGAAATACAATCTCATGTTTGAGGTTTGGATAATTGCAGAATTAGCATCTCCTTAGACTTTTTATACTTCTAGAAATTATAGGATTTTTTTCCCCTTCTATTAATACAATTAGGTTTCCTACTGCCCATAGTTAATTAATCAATGCAGGATATAAACTCCAACCATAGGTCTAGAATCAATTAATTCTAGGGGTATGATTTCAGATTTATACTGTCATTTTCAAAAAATTGACACCCCAATTCTAAGCTTTTCCTATCTCCTCTCCCTCTCTTTGCTTTTCTACTAATGCCACACCTTGAATACTTAGTTGAGCATGCTGTTTTCTTGCAATTTCTTTACCCAGCCAGTGCTGATGAGCGAGCCAACTTTCTAGCATTTATGAAAAAAAAAAAAATTCTGCAATGCTCTTTGAGATTATAGGTCGTAGATTTTTTGTGGATTGTCCATCATACCATGTTTCTATAATTCAAGAGAGTAGATGCTTTGATTGAAGTCACGGAATCATATGGTATTTGTCATCTTTCTCTCTCTTATTCTACACACAAATATAGTCACCATGAAAATATGGTCTACTCTTTTGCCTTGGGTCATTGGTCTTAACAAATGTAATTTGAGAGAATGTGTGCTTTGCTTTTTATTGCTCAATTAAACTTCTCCCCTCACCTAATTTCATGATAAAGATTTTGCTGAATGGTTTGTGGATACTAGAAGAAGTTTGGGTTTCTAACCTATATACTTCTTGTTTCAGGAATGGGTTACAGATAGTCCATTTATAATCTCACCTAGAATAACTTTCGAGGTTAGTGTACGTCTTCTTGGAGGGCTGATGGCATTGGGGTACACAATTGCAGCCATCCTGAAAAGAAGCAGTCATATCTTCTGTGATGATAGGGTTTCCATCAAAACTGACTGGCTAGAACAACTTAATCGTCACTATGTTCAGGTACTATATGCTAATCTGCTTTTATTGCAATCTGTTCTATGTTTCCAGTCCTTGCAAAATTGGTATGGATGAACACTCTGTCTATTTGTGCCGTGGTTCAATTAGTACCTTCTCAATGGTTGTTTTTTCTTCATGGTGTTTTCTGTGTTTCAGTTAGTAGCTTTCTTCTTTATTGTTTTCTGTTCTAAGCCCTCCAACTTATCCCAAAACTTGGCCCAACTATGCTCATTAGAATAATTCGCTCATTTTTGTTTCAACTTTCTAGCCAACTAAAAGTCCAAGCCAACTACTGTGGTTAAAATATTGGTGTTGATCAACCTATGGCATTACCTCTTCACCTTACTCATCACATCAGATGGAACAGTTCTTTGACAATAAACTGCTGTAGTTTGTGTGCATCTAGACAATACCAACTCATTTGTTGTGCTTGTTTAGAGTTGCAGGGTTTACCTTTTTAGGATACAGTTCATTATTGTTAGCTTATTGGCTAAATTTTTAGAAGCTTGGATCTAATTAAATTCATGTTGTTCATGGGAAGGTGCAAGGTAGAGAGCGTTTATATGTTAAATATGTCGCAGAGCAGCTAGGCTTGGATGGGTCATATGTTCCTCGTACATACATAGAACAGATTCAGCTAGAGAAGCTTGTGAATGATGTCATGGTATGATTCTTTCAGCTGAATATATTTTCCTGAGTTGTGCATGGTCCTTATCTGATCAACCTGCAGGCATTGCCAGATGATTTGAAGACAAAGCTGAGCATCGATGATGATTTGGTTTCAAGCCCTAAAGAAGCCCTTTCTAGAGCCTCTGCAGATAGGAGAAACAAGTATCTGGGCCGGTATTCTCTAGTTCTGGCACATGGTTTGATTTATCTTCTCCCCTAAACAAGAATACAGTTAAAGGAACAAACAAATAAATAAACCCCAAAGGAAAGATAGGAATATAAAATAGGTAGGTGTTTATTTGGGTATTAATATTGTTCTTTGGTTGGATGATTGTTTGAGAACAAAATATCACTCAACTTTCAATTGAACTCTACATGTTTGGACACTCAACTGTTTATTTCATGCGCGCACACACACGCACAGAGTAATCAAGACTCCTTATTTCAAAATTGTGAAAATGGAAATGATTCTGCAATGATTTTATTAAACTAATACTAGCAATCTAAGAAACTAACATGGTTCATCTGACGATACATACTGTGCAGCAGTTTGTCACTCTCATATTCCAATCAACGGGAGAAGAATCTGTCCAAGCTGACAAGACTAGCTGTTGATAATAGAAGATTTGATGGCAGAACTGCAGAGTCACCCGGTGCAGTTGCAAACCAGGTGAGTATATTCCTGGCTACAGAGGTGTCTATATAAATAGCCATTATAACAGTCTATTTGCTAGGAATTGTAACAGTTGTCCAGCTGTTGACATAATTGAGGATAGCAGCATTGAGCACTCTGTTATATCTAGAACAAGAGTATTTTAAGTTCTTACCAAATTTCCTATAGGTGGTATATTCCCTAGTTCTTTGTTTGTCCTCTTATTTGGGTTTGTTACTGTTTTGGTAAATCAATCTCTGCACTGCTCCAATCCAACCAACTGGGCAATGCACCCTTGTTCCTTCGTTTGATTTTTTCTGACTAGAATGGTTGCTTTTTTTACTTTTCTTCCTCTTACTTTTACTGTTTTCACTATCTGCATCCATTCCGAATGTGGCATTATTAGTATTGTTTTTTTTTTTTTTTATATCATATTCTTATCTTCTGGAATGTTTTAGGGTGTCATTACTCAACTCTCTGAGCAGATTTCCACATTGAATGAGAGGATGGATGAGTTTACATCTCGTATGGAGAAGCTCAATTCCAAGTTTGCCACAAGGAAAGTTTCAGCTAGTCAACAAAATTTGGCTTTGCAGGGCGAAGCCTGCAATGGATCTGGGCCAACTACTCTATTTGTAACTGGGTTGGGCAATGGCTCCCAAACTGGATCACTACTGCCAAATTCTTCATCTTCTTCCCAGTTAGCTAGGGAGTCTCCACTAATGGAAGAGGTAACACGACTTGTATCTCTTAAAATTTTTGGCATGGAAAAGAAATAGTGAAATCATGAGATCAACCATAGTATGATGGATATGTGCAAGGCTAATTCTACATAATATTCATGAATATAGAAGAACCTTGTACAATAAAAAAAAAGGTTAGATGTTTCCCAGTCCTTTTCTTTTGAACATAATATGCTACAATAGTAGTGTTTTTATGTTTTACTTTTGGGTTCGAGTTCTTGAAATTTGTTTGAAACAACAAAGAAATGGGTGTAAAATTTTCACTTGTTGGAAATCGTGGAACAGCTTAGTAAAACAACATTAGTTTCCTTTGAACAGAATATGCTAGAATAGTAGCGTTTGTATGTTTTACCTTTGGAATCAAGGTTTTTTGAAATTTTTCTTAAGCAAAGAAATTGGGTGTAAAATTTTATTTTGTTGAGAGTAACTTAGTAAAATAACATTTTTTCCCCTGTTTCTTGGAATGACAGTAGTGAAGAGAGTGCATTGGGAAGACTACGTCATGAAAGTAATGAAGATTGTGTGTTAGGACGACTGTTAATCCTTTATATGGATTAGGCGGATATAAATATATCTTCGGGAAATTTTCGAGATTAAAACTTAGTATACCTTTAATTTTCTAAATACCATGTTAACAACACTATGCGGAATTAGCTCAATTTGTCGGTATATATTTTGTCTAGTCTTAAGTATATCCTTACAAATCTAATCGATTTCAATTTGTCTCTGAATATAGATTCATTCTCCAATATATCCTCATATAAGATATTTTCATCAATTGATGAAAATACCTCCACGGGATAAAGTCAAACCTAACGTAATTTGCATGGGAATATTATGGCAATTGGTTTTCTGTTTCAAATTTTATTTTATTTTTAATAATTTAGGTGGGTTTTAAGTTTTTCAAATGAGGGTGTATTTCCATCAATTTGCATGGGAATATTTACCAAAAAGATAAATTGGAGAATGGCCTAAAATGTGAAGATAGATTGTAACTTTTAGGGATGGATTGGAGACTGGACCTAATTATAAGGACAAGTTTGAGCTAATTACCAACACTCTTTTTCGTCAAAGAAATCGATAGATACTTTCCTTGCATTAGAACAGGCGTATTAAACATCTTTAACTTTTCCTATTCAAGCACGAGAATTGTAAAAGTAGTAGGTATAATGATGGGAAGCAAGTTTCGAAGGGTTTGATATGTATTGGGATTATATCATCAAAGCGACTTACAATCCATCAGCAGTAGCATGTTCAGAAATGATGCTGAGTCAGTTTCGGCATTGCTTCCATCTGCACATGTTTTAATTGCTATCATGCATTTGACTGTATTTTATTTTCTTTTTGAAAAATGTTTGATTGTTGAAGCTATGCCTGAACAGGTTCTTCTAATTGCACGGGGACAGCGTCAAATTATGCATCAGTTAGACAATCTGACCAATCTTCTGCATGAACACCGGGGAGAGAGGTCTCGCCAAGATAGAACGGATAGGATGAGCAGTACAGTCGACTTTGATTCCATCACCATTCCTCTTATTTTAAGTTTAGCAATTGGAGGCTTAGGCGTCCTTTTGCTCAGCAGCATGACCCCTGGAAAATGATTTTACTCGAAGCATATCTTTTTCTCACCACTCTGCATAAATGATTTTCATGCTAGGCACCTTAATCTTCGTCCCTGTATACTGTATAGGCTTGTTCTTAACCTTGTTACCGAGAAAGAATCATTGAATTGAGACTTGAGAGTGCAGCTTACAACTTTATACCATTTGGGTTGTAAGGAGGCCGATTACAGTTTGTTAATAATATTCATTTTTCAGATTATTAGCAGATGTAATTAACACCAGTTGCGAATACTCGATCATCTTTCATGTTTAATTTTTATTTGCTTATAATTAGTATGGATGCAAAAAGAGCTTCTCACATGTTAAGCAGTGCAATTTGAAATTGAGTTTTATTTATTTATTTATTTATATATAGCTTATAGTCAAGTCACAATGATCTACAATGATCTCTTGTAATAAAAAATCACAATTTCAAATCCTAGTTCTGCTACAAACCTTAGTGTGTGAGTTCAAAAAAAAATTAAAATTTAGTTAGTTAAATAATCTGTGCCAGTATTGCCTTATTTTTTCTATTTCCTATTTTGAGTATTTGTACTCATCTTTTCGATTGAAAAGTTATCAACAACCGATGAAAATCAATGACGTAGTCGTTAAGTAACCAAATCCTAGTTACTTATTCTTCAGGCCTTTTAAGTCCTATTTGGTCCTTTACTAGATATCTATTCTCTTTTTGTTATTGTTTTATTTCTCATAACTTTTTTGACCCAAAGGACCTAAAACAAACAAGAAAAGGTGACAGCCAGAAGAGGACGCAGCAGACATCCAATCATTATTTCTTGCAGCAATCTAGGCTTACCGACCCTCTAATAATAGAACTACTAATCACCAATAACAATTGAAGATTTGGAGAACCAATTAAAAAAAAAAAATCCCACTGGTTTTAGAACTGGAATGGAAGCAGCACTGCAGAGGAAAGGATTTAAGAAAGACATTTAGACAGACAGGATTAAATTCGGAGTCGATTGGAAAGCTATGGTACTACAAAACGGGGGGAAGTACAGAATACATGGATTAAATTATAACGCATCAGCCAAAGTCAGGTTGAGACTAAGCCAAGAACTACAATGATGCCATTGCCAATCAGAAAAGAGATGAGGTCAGTTCAGAAACATCAGCTACGACCTGGTCAAAATCTGTCTTTAATTTCTCTTTTTCTTCCTCTGCCAAGTCTCCCTTGGGAGGCTTGGTTAGCACCAGAACACAACATGTTGGCCTCTTGGTAGCTCCTGCATTGGCAAGATCCTGAAACAACAGATTAAATATCAGTAAAGAATGTCTGCGTGTGAGAAACAGAAAGAGAATCCGATTATCAACATTCAAAAGTAATGATAAACTTGGTTTATCATTATCAAGCATTAATCCAACAAAAGTCTGTTGATGTTTCTTTCATCAACATTAGCGAAGCACCTAATGCATGCACCATATTATGAAACATCTGGGAGAGTTGTGAAAAACATTAATAAATCCAGTAATTCCTTTTTAATGCTACTTACTGGTAGTTGGGGTTCTTAATTGCACCGTGATCATGCAGCAAAAGTCTAGAGCCAATTTAAACTTTAACATGTCTACAAAGTTAACATCATATCAAAAATTAAGTACTCTACACAACTAAGATACTATTAATGGGTATTTTCACCACAATCAGGTATATATTTGTTTGCATGGATAATAGTTTTATGGGGGAGCTTCTGCTCTATAGTGACTTGTGAACTCAAAGCAAAAGGTCCCTCCTAAAAATTACAAAACGGAGCACAAAAGAAAATCCAATGAAAACAAGAAGCTGTCATTTTATATTACCCAAAAGAAAAGTGAAAATAGTGAAAATCCAAACTTACTTCTTTTGAGGGAACATATATGTAAGGAATGTCAGCCTCTTCACACAAGATCGGCACATGGGTGATGACATCTATAGGAGATATGTTCCCAGCTATAACGCAAATTCTGCCAAAACAAAACAAATAAAGACCATGAAAGAGAAGAAAAAATTATCTATAATTCACCCAGAAACTTCACCATATTTCTTTAACCTTAAAAATTAAGATACTTTTCAATCAAATCAATTTAAGGACACAAGAAAGCTTGGTAAGAAGCTCATAAAAACGACAGTAACTGGAAAAAGAAATCTCCACAGTAATCAATAACAGGCATTATCAGCCATGGTCCATTGAAAGTCCTAGAAAATGGGCACAGAGACTCCATCAAAGCAACAAAAGTTTACTTGTTTATGACTAAAATCTAACCATCTCAGATTTCAACCAAATTCTGACTGATAAAGATATAATTTCTGCCACCCTTATCAGACATGAGTTTCAAATTCAAACAAGAAGCTAGAACAGTAATTTAGGACATGGCCATTTTGTTTGTTCATCACATGTCCACCATAAATCATAGTTCTAATTCTCTGTAGTTCAGTCAAATATCCCTTAAAAATTATGGAAGGAAAGAAATTCACAAAAATAACGATCAGTTTACTTATCATAGACAGCATGGCATAAAGACTCCAAGGAGAGCTTCAAACAACAGACTCCATTTTGACAGAACAGATTGCTGCTCTCTTTTACCCAAAATTTACAAGACAAATACCATCACCAATAATGGTTGTTAACCCGCTATTAAAATATGGACATACTTGGTTTCGAAAACTCAATCACCAAGGCATTTTTGTTCTTTATTGTCATAAGAACTAACATGGCCAAAATTTATAAAGAAGTACACAGAAATAAGAGAAATTTCTTCAAAAAGTCCAAATTGAATTGCAAAACTGACCCTTTATGACCGCGCCGGATACTTTTAACCACCTCTTTCACTCCTCTCTTCAAGCATTTGTGTTCAGCAGCTAGAATAACAGAAGCATTACAATTTAAATCATAGGCATTAAATAAATCAATCAATTGTACATTAAAAAGAAAAAAACACCATACATACGCAGGTACAACCCGTGTTATTAATTCTCCAAAATTTTACCAATTCAACATGTACTGTAAAATTACTTAAATGACTCAAAAGGCAAAACCCACCTCCAACTCCTGGTGATAATTTTTTTTAAATGTAAAAGAGCAAAAAACCCATTTTATAGAGTCCCTAAAAAAAAAAAGGAGCATATGCTTATATATATATATATATATATATCTATTTATGGTACCTCTACGGACAAGCTTGAGGGTTTTCTTGCAAAGCTTCTTGCCAGCAAGGGGTTTGGCTATAGGAGCAAGAGCTAAAATCTTTTTCCTATCCTTCTCTTGCTTTTGTGACCTCTCTGCTTCGTTGTCGCTCCCCATCTCTCTCTCTCTCAGTTGAAGCAGACAGGGTTCGTAGCGTTTTATTTATGCTTGTGTGTTTTTGTGAGGGCGGAAATTAGGGTTTTTGCAGTTTGGTATTTATTTTATGTGATCGGGGTTTAAGATGCTAGTTGGGGTTAATGGCACCATCCATCCCTGTACTCTTGATATCTGATTGATTTAGTCCCTCTGCTAAAACTTTTATGTCTTTTTCATACAGCTAGCCTTATTGGCATGTGTATTATTCAATTAACTTTTAGTTTTTTTTTTCCTAATCTTTAATAGGCGAACTATTTATAGAATAATAAACTGAATAAATATCATATTAAATATTTTACTCTAATAAATAAAAAACTTTTATATAGAGTTCGATATTCTATAGTTAAATTAGTTTGCGTTATTCGAAATATATGAAATAAATTTTAACTACAATTAAATAAAAATCAACACATAAATGGAAATTATTTTTTAATATTTAATACACACGCATGTAATTAATTAAAAATAATAATCACTAAGAAATTTGCACAACTTATTCATTAAGTAGAGATAGAAATAGAAAAAATGTTTTGTGATAGATATCTATTATTAGTTGAAAAGGTCATAGAGAAAATAAATTTTGATAAATCATTGAATGTCAAAATCACTATCGTTATTAAAGAAAAAAATTGATTTTTTTTTTGTCTGAAATAATTAGTTATTCAAATAAAATCTATTTATTGCATCAATAAATAAGATGAATGATGTATTTTATTTGGAACACTACTAAGTTTATTAGTACTATATTATTAAAGATTTTTTATTTTAAAGATTTTTTTTATTATATGAATACAATTTATGAATCATTTTTTTAAATAATTTTTTTAGCATTTTGGTCAAAATGAATAATAGAAATTTTATGAATCTTTTTGTCCCCATATTTCAAACTTAACACAAGAAATTTGGATAAATAGAATATCGCCAATTAAAAAAAAAAAAGATCCATATGAATAATTTGATATAATTTATTATTTTTGAAATTTAATATTATTTATTTTTACTTCCTTATTTTAAAGCATTTTTAAAGTTTTAATAGTTAAAATAAAATGACAATAAGATACTATATAGGTTAGGAGTTATTTAAGAAGTTTATTTTGTGTTATTCTAGATTTTATGTAGTATATAAAAGAAAAATAATGAAAAATTCTAATTTTGGGGAATTAATAGCTTTTCTAATAACTAATGTTGATCTTTTTTTTTTTTTTATTCATATGAGATTTATAGGTTTTTGGACTATACAATAGGAGGTAGTCATCTTCATTACATAATAATTAAAAAAAAAAAAAAAACCTAGATTCACTAATATTCGAATCTTACTTCACTAGAAAAACTAATTGAGTACACGATCGTTAAGTTAACCTTTCTTGTGTTATAATATTAGTATCTTAAATTATTTTAATATAAAGTTAATTTTCATAAAAGTCAAATAAAATTAAACACTAATAAAAACTATGATCAAGGTAAAATAATCATTCAAATTGTTTTAAAATTGTTTTATCTTTATTTATAGATAATTACGGATTTGGTAAGAAAAAAAAATTAAGTTCTTCGAAAAATTGTTAAAAAGTAGAAAAGTAAAAAAAAATAAATTAATTAATTAAGACTAAATTAATCATTAAAATATATAAGATTATAAATGTATTTTGGTCAAATAAAATGCTTCAATAAAGAATTTATGTTTTTTTTTTCTCGTATATATAGTTATGGATTATGAAAGAGAAATTGTTATATAGACTTAGTTTAATCAATATTTTCTCTCATCTAACATCATTATAAACAGCTCTTATATGGCTAACATATGGCATATCATCTAAGAGATAGGGAGACACAGCTTCCTCAGAAATTTTTATTTTCATTTATTATTTTCTAAGAGATATATGTATTTTTTTCCTCATATTTTCAAGTTGAAAGTTACAAACAAATAGTAAGTAGAAAGTAATTGAGAAAACAAATAAATAGAGAAAAATGATTTTAAAAGATTTTTGAAATTTTCCACTCCAATGCTATTCAATTCAGTGGGTCGCGATTCACAATTAACAAAAGGTGAGAAAAAATCACGTGCAAAATATAGACTATTATTTTTTAGTTTTTTATTCTTTTTTTTTTAAAAAAAAAAAAGAGGATCAAAAATCATTTATTTAAAAAATGTCAGTGAAAAAATTTTCTATAGAGAGAAATCATTCAAAAGATGAATTTACACACTAATTTTTTATTAGAGAAAAAAATTGAAAAAGAATAAAAAAGTATTAGTTTGAAAATAGCTAGAAAAACTTGGAACGAAAATATTTTTTTTCCTTACCTTGGGAAAATAAAGAGAAAAAAAAGTAGTTGCATTATTTTTACAGTCAAAATAATAAAAAAAATTTTTTTCATGATATCAAATATATTCAGTAAATGGGATCTAACTTACAAACCATTAATTTCATTTCAAAACCAAAACCTGTTAAGAAAATTAAGAAAATCATTGTATTAATGCTTTATGGCATGATGATGACGATTACATAGAAAGTTCAAGAAAGCACTTGAAAGATTGTCTCTTAACAAACAGTTTTGGCTAATGGACACAGATAGAGGATTTAACGTGATCAAGGATTAGAACTATGGGGTTTGGGGATGCCCCACTTTGAAGTACCGGGGCAAATCTAACCAAAATTAATAAGTAGAGGGACCACCCTTTTAGTTCGAACCCCCAACAAAAGTTTCATAAAATTTTATTTATCAAAAAATCCAAAAGATCTATGTTTTTTGTTGTTGCAATTTTAAGTTATTTTATCAATTTTCATGATTTTTAAACATTTTGGCACATTTCTTTCTTTCTTTCTTTCTTTCTTTTTCTTTTTCTTTTTTTTTTTTTTTTGAGAAAAACAGTTAAAAATAATTTTTTTAAAAAGATGGAAATATAGGAGGGAAAGAAGAAGAAGAAAAATGACATAAAAAATTGGGGAAAAAAAGAAAAAGAAAAATCAAGATAAAGTTGAAAGAAAATAACAAGTAAGAGGACTAGAAAGAAAAAGAAAAAGTGCAGTGGCAAAATAAGAAGAAAACAAAATGAGGATGAAAAAAAAAAAAAAAAAAAAAAAAGACATCCTTTTTATAATTAATTTTCTAGCATTTTTTTTTTTTTTGGTAATTTTAAACCCTGAGATGCATAAATCTAGCTACCATGACTCTGTTTGGTGGGAGACTCTAGTTTATTTAGCGGTTTATGCCATTTGATTCATGTTTTTAGGAAAAGAACTTGGTCCATGTCAAGTCTTTAGTGTTGATCCTAAACCTAGTGTTCTTAGAAAGAATATTAGGAGGCAGTTTTGGTCTAATTTTTCTTAGGATGGAGGGAGGTAGTGGCTGGCCTTTTGTTGCCCAAATCTTAGCCATAGTCCGGCGAGCCCTTCTTCCTCTCCGTTCACCTATATGGATAATGGATGCAGAATAAGAAGTAGAGACAAAGAAAAGAGAGACATAATGTATTCATGTAGTTAGTATCTTTTTAGTCAGTATGGTTTCTGTTTTTGTAGTCTTGTTTATACATAGAAGATTCAGCTTATAGTGGGACGTAGGGATTCTCAAACTCAGGAGGAATTCTCGCTTCTCGATTAGCAAATGAGTTGGATGATGGGATTCTTTCAGCTTGAGTTTGACTCATTTGATATCCATTATCCTTCACTCTCGCAGCTTGCCATGATCAATAGGCTTCAATTAGCCATTCCATGTATTAGTAAGTCTTCTTAAATGATATTTAAGAACTTGGGTGACGCATCACTATTCAAGACCCCTTTAAAGCTAGCCAAGCCAATTGTTCTTAGGATACATTGCTCGTAGCCTAGTTGCCTAGATGTCATACTAGGCCATTTAAGGTATTGTAGAAGATTGGAGGCCATACTTACAAATTAGCCTTACCTTCGTCTCTCTCTCCAATACATAACGTATTCCACGTGTCTATGTTAAGAAAATATATAAAAGACCTAAATCATATGTTAAAGGATGAATCACTACACTTGTAACTCGATCTAAGTTACCAAGAAGAACCAATACAAGTTCTAGATCATGAGGCAAAAAAATTAAGGAATAAACAAATTCCTCTCGTAAATATAGTATGGAGAAATCATATTGTAGAAGAGGCAACATAGGAACGAGAGGAAGGAACGAAAGCTTAGTACCCGCAGTTGTTTAATTAAGGAATTTCGAGGACATAATTTTTATTAGGAGGGAGGATGTAACACCCACTACTTAAAATCCTCCTTGAATGTATATATATGGTAAGTATATTTTATTTACCTAATAAAAGAATATTTATTAAATGTGAGGAATGAAAGTTTATACTTGTCTTAAGGATAAATTAAATACAAGTGTGATTAAAATGAAAGGTTAATGGAATGAATAAAGGTTGAATTAGATATTGGTACCATTAATTATTATGGTTAGGATTTGGCCTAGGGATGTGATTGTAAAACCTTGGGGCATAATTATAATGATTAAAAGTTTGAGTGCTTGATTGAAATACTTAAACAACTTTAAGGATTTCAATTGCTCTTAAAAAGGCCTAGGATAAAGGCTAGATTAAGAAAAAATTATGAAGTTACGCACTGGAATTGGAGTGATGGATTACAAGGATTAAAAGTTTAGAGACTAAAGTGTAAAATGTTATTGTTTTAGGAGATTTATTAATGATTTTCAAAGACTAATTCTAGTAAGAAAATTCTAGAAAAAAGGAGAGAAAAGAGAAGAACTAAGTCGGCAAAGAGAGGAGAAGAAAGGGAGAGAATAATCTACCAAAAAATCAAGGAAAAAGAGGAAGAAAAATCTCCAACCACCATTAATGCTAGGTTTTGAGATTGATTTAAGTGTGAAACACTTGGCTTAATCCAAAAGAATTCTTTTCCTATAAATTCGGCTTGGAGAGGAGGAAGAAATAGTTGAAAATTTTGAGAATTCAAAGAGAGAGAAGTTCAACTAAGAGGAAAACCACCCAAACAACACACCAAACTACCTTAGACAACCTTAAAACACTCAAAAATCACCCTAGAATCGAGTTTAGGAAAATAATCAAAGGAGGAGGAAGAAACTCCATCTTGGTCGAAAGTTTGAGGTGAAAGGAGGATTGGCCAAACTCAAGTAAGGTAAGTGTAATCCTCACTACACTATAAGAAACTAGTTTTTATTATGTGTATTATATGTTAATTTGAAGTTTTATTATTCATGATTTAATCATTTAATCATTGGAGTTATGGTGATGATGTTGGAATTGAGTGATTTACGTGTTATATTTGTGTTAGTTATGTTGAAATTGTTATGTTTAGTTGGTTAATTGGAATAAACATGTGAGTTTTGATGATGTCCTTGTTCTTCGAATAAGATGCTTGATATATATTAGAACATAAAGAAATTTATGGTTAAAGGGTTTAATATTTACAAAGTGTTTGATAAAATGATTTAGGTGTGTTTATAGCGTTAGGTTAAGAAAAATCAGATTTGCTCACTAATTTGAACATTTCGACCAAGAAGGAATATTTGGATGAATTGTTTTGATTGGTCTAATTCAAGTATATTTTATGATAAAATGCTTAATTGATGAAATAGATAAGGAAATTTGAGTTAAAATGAAGGAAGTGAAGTTAATCTTCCTTTGGCCAAATTTCAGCCTAATCTTTGAAATGAGGGAAAGAAAGGTTAACTTGAAGTTAATGATAATTTTGAGGTTTAAAAGGCTAAAATGGCATGAAAACGATTGACTATGTTTTGAAAATGGTTTAGTTGAATTGTATGAATAATTTGGCCATGATGTGTACTCAAGGCATTGTTTATGTTCTTTGTTCCTACATGATTTTCATCTATACTTAATTTATGTGGAATATGTAATGGATGACTTATTTGTGTTACATGTTCGTATGATTTATTAGTATGCATGATGAAGTTTATATTGATGCATTGCATTTCAATTAAATACATTTGCATATCATAATCATGAAAGATGATTTATATTCATGATTTTGATAGAGGAAAAGGTAGAGAAAAGGTAAAGGATTGCATTTCATTTAAATGCATTTGCATATTATAACTATGAAAAGGATTTTTCTTCATTGTTTTTGAGAAAAAGGAAAAGGAAAAGGAAGTGTTTTCAAAGGAAATGGCTAGACACTTTCAAGAGGAAGAGGAAAAGAAAATCGCATTATTATGGGAGAGGAATTGATCAACCTCTCGTGAGGAAAAAAAAAGGAAAATGAAAATGATTTTTTTTCGAAAAGGAAGAATGAGAAATGCCATTTATATTGTTATTTTTTAAAAGAGAAGAATGAGTGAGGAATCTTATCTTTGCTTAACTTGTTTTAGGACAAGCATAGTTATGCTAGGTTAAGTAAATTTTGGTTTCTAATAATGAATAGAGTGGTTTGGATGTTTAATGGTTTTGTTATGTTAAGTATTGTTTAATTAAGTAACTTAAACAAACAATTGGCTATTTAATTAATTGGATTGATCTAAATGAGTTAATAAATTAAGAAAAGGAATTAATTAGAGGTTAAATGGAGATATTAAATAGATGGTTACTTAGTATGGTTGCTAAAGAATTAATGATAATGGTAAGGCAAAAAGGCTTAGTAAGTTGATGCTTATAAATTTATCGATTGATTAATTTATTTACTTAGCTTATAAATTTATGAATTGATTAATTACTTTATTTAAAATTTATTCGTAAATACAATCTTATTTTATATCTTCATTTATCAACATTATCATTCCACACCCATCTAACCATATTAGGCCGGGTCGCCAAGTAGCAGCACACTAAAGGAAATCTATCGTATCGCAATTCAACCACATTTCCACCATTTCCCCCTCTAGCAGTACGGATCATGTTCTTACTTGGTTTGTGTGGCCTTAATCAACTCTCGAACCTTTACAATACTAGCTTCTTCTCCTCTAACTGCATATACTTCTGACTCACAGACGTTATCAAGTTTTGCTACGATCTTATTTCACTTTCTTCGTTCTAAGATGGAGAGGGGGACCTCGTAGTTGAATATGAATGATGCCTCCATAAAGTCCTTTGAACATAAATCTATATTCCTCCCCCATCTGTGAAGAATAAAGAGTTAATTTTTAAACAACCAGGAGCCGCCTTTTAAAACCCTTAGCAAATCATACTCATTTGCAAAGAAGAATTGAAAACAGCCATCCCCAAACTCCTGCACTTGAAACCCTTTTGGATGCCATCAAAAAGTGTACCCTTATTAACAGGCATGACAGGATTTTAACAATACTACTCGATTCACCACTCTGTAAACCACTCCTAATGTCCTCTTCCTCCAGAAACACCAAATCCTCCTCCTCGTCCCAGTTATTTCCCGTCGAATGGAAATGTGGTAGATCCCTTATTTGAGATTATTCAAGGGAAAAGGACTAGAAGATTTAAGAACAAGATTCAACTGAAAGGACAAGCAGCGTATGATATAACCTTGTAGAAGGATGACACTAGTGAGAGAACGGGATAAAAGACACCCTGTAGAGGACTTGTTTATAATATTATTTATGATAATTTGTGAATACAGTATCATAGCCTTAAAAAAAAAAAAAAAGGATCAAATAGATAGTTCCAACCTACATTCTCATTAGCGAATCAATCCGTCTTCAAAACTTTGTTAGCTGGCGATTGGACCAATGTGACAACCCTATAATGTAGGGGCTAAATTGACTTATTAATAACATGAGGATTCGATTGACTTACTAAGGATGAGATAGTGACTAAATTGACATAAAGATAACATAGGGGGTTAAACTATGGGTTTAGCCTTTTACTTCGAATAAAAAATCTACTGGAAAACCAAGGACTTGTTCTTACAGATCATTATCCGTTAAATTCAATTAGTAATAATTGAGCAAATAGGATTTTTCATATCATGGAATTACTGACAGATCACAAACTCCTTAGAACGTCATTGTGGTGGGGTTGGGGTTTGGCTTAAGGCACCCCAAGCCCTGGCTAATACATTTCCCCTACCAATTTCTGTTCAGAAACAAACATGAGGTCAACTTGATGCCATCTCCAGGCCAGCCGAGTAGACACATGGGAAGAGACATAAAGTGCAGCCTGTACAGATGACTAAATTATGAACATATTCTTGAAGATCGGATCATATTAACATCACTGGTACACAACCCAGTTGCAAACCTGATTAGCATCATATGAAGCTCAGATCACATATGCTTTAAATCAGCCATAAATTCTTGAAGATCTTCCACTGTTGCATTGGGGAGGCCTAGAAAACAAAAGGAAGTATCAGGCAACACAAACTTTTAAATCATAATGCAATCATATCAAGCTTGTCAGGCACTAAACAATAAAAATGGTTGCTGGTTTTACCCTTGCTATAATTTGATGCCAATAAATCTCTATCTGGATCATGAATCCTCTTTGCTCTAACGCACTCTATATTTTCCACCTTTCTGGTTCTCAGCTTCTCCATTTTTTCACGAAGTTCGGACATCGTTGACACCAAATCTGTAAGAAGCAATTGTCAACAGTAAATTAATAAAAGATATATAATAGTTTGTCCTACAAGGAATTTCAGGGAAATAAACAGCTAAATTAGCTGAGTTTGAAAATAATTATATGATCAACTAAGAGTTGTCATAAATTATTGCATCCAAATACAAAGTTCTTCATTAGTGGCTTGGAAGTTGCTAACAGCACAAGATAAAGCACATTTACAAGGTCTAACCCCCTAGCATATAGTAATACAATACAAAGGAAAGGAAAAACAAAAAAGAGGCATTTATTCTAAAGATCACGCTATATCAGGAAAACTTCTTCACAATCTAGAGTTGCAGAACAACAGAAACTTTAAGGATTTGCAAGCACAACCTCCTCCACATAGCTCTGCAACCAATTCTGTGTTGGTTCCTAAAACATTTTTTAGACTTTAAGCTGGTGAAATGTAAATTACAGGGGAAAAAATTTCAAGGAAAAATAATGCAGCAGTAGGAATATTCTAAAGGCTCAAAATGTTAAAAACTGCACGTAGCTTCTAGAACATGATGCACAGTCCATGGTATTTGGAATATCAGTGTGCTATTCAAGGGCTTCAGTTTATGTAAAACATTGGAACAGAAACAGTAGCTTAGGCATACATAGAGCATTAACGCAGTGGTAGGAAACACAATTGACAAAAATGTTCTGTTTCACAACAGTGGAGCTTGTTGCCAACAATAATGATGCTTTGAGCAAATGAAACTACAAGAAATAAAAAATCGGAAAGGTCCACCACAAACAAAAACTTGCTTTCTGCAAATGTCAAAGTATGGTAAATATGTAATCACTCATGTATTTAAGGCTTCAACAGTTACCTTGAAACATGTCTTGGACAGAGGCTTGGTCATACAATTGCAGAGCCTCACTGACAAGTTCAGCACAATGATCACTTGAAGCAGATTGCCTTTCCAAGGCTTGAAGCTCATAATTCAGCTCAGCAGACTCCTTTCCTATCTGTTGGATAAATTTCCATGAAAAATACAATCCATAGAGAAAAAAAAAAAAATCACACATGGATGGAAGTTCTTGCACTACAACAAGTCCTTACCATAGTAAGCCTGTTCCTCAAGTTATCCAACTGTGTATCCAGATCAGGATCACAAAGCACGTCTTGACACATCAAAGTTTCAGCTGGTGATTCCTTCTAGAAATGCATTACAACAGTTGTTAGATCCAACTAGAAAGCTAACAGAGCAAGGTATTGCCTCAATCAGCACGTAAACGTGATTATCTACGTTCTAAACAATAGAAAGAACATAAGAGATCATGAGAAGGAAATACAAGAAGAAACACAGACATGGATCATTAAAAAACTGATTGATAGCACCTCCCACCTCTCACATATACTGTGCTGACAATATTCAGTCCCTCTTCCACACTCATTCTGTCATTGTTCCCAATCATGTCCAGTTGATGAACATTTCCATGTGCCTTTTAAAACATCTTGAATAGTACAACCTTATATTATCCATGAAATCAAGCCTTCCCGACCAAGCCATTACACAGTAATTCAATAAAATTCCATATATCTCTTCATTCATTCTTGAGCAGCTTGACTAGTTATTGAAACTTTTCAAACTGTTACTTACATCTCTCTGCTTCTTCCTCTTGAACTTATAACTCATTTATTGGTGAAAGGTCCCACGCACAGCTCAGTCATCCTAGTAGAATTGTAGGTGGTACTACACAGTCCTCGGCAATAAAAAGTGTTCCCTTGGCTAAATTCTTTTCAACTAATTAAGCTGTTGATCAAGTATCTATTCAACCACAGCTCACCTAACATAGCTGATTGCTCTAAGTTTCAAGAGATCCAAAGTAACACTGAATGAGGACAAGGTCTTTTGGTCCTCCCACAGTAGCTAGTAAAGGTTAAATCTCTAGGACTTGCAATGAGACAATTGCATCCAATAAATTTGTTAAAACACATCCAGAAAATATCTACCAATTGCTGTTGGATTACTGATGAACAACGTGGGCCATATGAATGAAAGTCCATACTTGAGAGCCAATTCACAATCCATCACTTTAATAGACTATATGTAACAACAATCTCACCAACTGGTTCAAATCACAAAATTAACCTATTACACGAACAAGTGAATCTTTTAAATGCTAAAATTTGCACCCCACAATCCCCACTTGAAAAAAAAATAATAATTACGCAACTGTTGTCTCTCCGCTTACCCAACACATTTTTATTGAACATTAGTTGCTAGATCTTTCCATGTAGAAGACAATCAAATCAATCAATCATTAAAATTGTGAGGCTTCTTCTCCCTATCAATGAGCATTTAACTTCAAATGATTTAGAAAACAAAACAAGAAATTCAACTATTTCTACATCTAGTCCTTTTCACAAACTAATCTGTTAAACAATCTCATAGCCTCTGCAACTATGTTCAGATTTAATGACCAAAAAGCACAATATATGAACAGAGGTCACACAAAACAAAACATTTACTAATATCTAACAAACAACAAGAAGAATGAACAAAGGAAATAAATGATGATGAAACACCACATGTGACATGATGACACATTATCCCATCAGGTCCTGGTAGGACTTATGTGAAGCTAAGAAGTTTCAACCACAGCCTGCCACGAGCTGCAATAGCCATGAAATGGCTAACAAACAATAAATATTTCTATGATGCTTCAAACCACAAACTGGGAAACCATCTTAAGAATCAGAGAAAAAAATTATGATTACACCAACTCAGCAAACAGGGTATGAGTAAAGACTTTTGCAGCAATAATCGAACAAGATGAAAGTTGATCTCTACAGATGAAATCTTTAGAATTGACAAATGTTGCCATCATGACCTTAAGAAAGAGAGGAGAATTAAGCAATCCTGGAAAGCGAAAAAAGAAACAGAGACAAATATTCCTCGCACTGCACTCACAAATTGAGTAAAAGAGGCTAAAACACACACACACACACAATTGTGTAAATAAAACAGCACAGTGATCCAACAAAATCAAAATCACTAAAGAAAAACAATATTATAGTAAATGAAAAGCTGGAATGAGTAATACTGCGAGGATTGTTTAAGAGATAACATACAGTTTGAGGTAAAGAGAAACCCTTAGGAACCGCAAAAATGTGGTGAACACAGTACTTCTCCCACATACCCAACCGCGTATCCAAGTCCGATTGAATCATATTGCGGATATAATCAATTCCCTACAAAAAACAAAACAAAACAAATTAAATAATCACAAGAACCACCGCCAGATAGTAACAACCCAACAATCAAGAAACATAATCAAATCTTGAAATTCAATTTCAATACCATTAGGCTAATTAAACTCAAATACAATAAATTAAGAAAAAGAAAAACAGTAAATAATTAAAATTACCTCGCTTAAGAATTGGGATTTAACAGTGACATCAGTTTTCAAAAGGGTCGATGCTTCCCTATGGCAACAAAAAAAAAAAGAATGATTAATTATGCAAAGAAAAGAAAATGAAATGATAAGAAAAAAGAAAGAGAAACAGAATTGGTACTGACTGGTGGTAGAAATTGAAAGCGTCGTCCACCAAATCATCGACGGTGTTTAGGGTTTCGTTGATGAAAAGTTGGGGATTCAAATTTAGGGATTCGAATACTGCTTTGCTTTCGCTGCCTTCCATCGCCCCGATGCTACAACCCCTTTTCCAATTTTTCAAGTTTCATGTAGAAAGAATTTTTGGGGAGAGAGTTTAACCAAAGAAGGTGAGATTTTTTTCCCGCCACAAAGGACAATAACAGAAACAGACCAAAATTTCAAATTGAAGTCTTGACACGAAGATATGTCAAAGATAGACTTAATCATTAAGAATGATTGATTTGTATTTCGAGAACAACGTCCGTTCCTACAAAATAACAGACTTATTAAATTAACTTAAACTTTTTTATTGTTATATAATAATAATAATATTATTATTATTATTTAGTAGTTTTTAGTATTATGAATTAGATGGAGGATCGTCGTCTATCTCTCTAGGATCTAGAAAATTTGACAATCCATCATCACATTGATTACCTAATAGCTAAGTGATAATAAATTATAAATACTAAAAAATAGGGTATAAAACCATGATTCATACTAAATAAATACAAGGTTAACTTGCAAAAGTAGAAAGCTTGACATTCAACTTATATACAAGCATACGGTCACACCTTAAAAATTTCAAATTAAATAGTAGATTAAATTGAAATTTTATACAATTAAAGCAATTAACAAGGAGGTATAAAATAAATGATAAGTGAGCTTCAAAAATTCTAAAATGTTCTTTAAAGTTTGTAATTCTTGGATTGGTGTTTATATTGCAACCTATATTTTCAAGTGTTTATATTGCAACCCAATTTTTTTTTTTTCAAGCATTTAATCTTTTAGTTTTTAGTTTGGATCTATTGTTTTGATTGCATATTAGCATAAAAAGTTAATTATTAGTTTAAATCATTTATTATTTCGAGTTATTATCCCGCAACTCAAACAGTTTAAGTGGAGATTAATCGTATAAAACGTCCCTCTATTTTACTTATTTTCTTAATATGCCCTTGTTTTTTTTTTTTCTTTTTATTCAAACCCTTCATATACTCTTCAATTTTTCTTAATGTAACTCCTCTTACTGAAATCCGACCAATTTTCCAATTGAAGTTGATAAATGGCAAAACAATTGCCACATGGCATGACACATCACAAAAAAATTCCACTTGGCAACTCTCCTATGCAAATCTATTTTTTTTCTTTTTTTTTCCTTTTCTTCTTCCATGTCTCTCTTAATCTCTCCACCACGAAAATCACCATGGCGACCACCTTATCTCCTTCTTCCTTCTCTCTCCTCCTCGCCACCAAAATCATCCTTTTTTTTTTTCTTCCTCCAATTTCGGGAACTATATTACGAGAGGAGCAAAAAAAAAAAAAACCGAATATTAATTTTCTCTCTCCTCCACTCTTTGTCTCTCATTTTCCCTTCTCCATCATCTCCTTCTTCCTCCTCGTCGTTCTTTCTCCTTCCTCATTTGCCAACACTCTTCCTTCGAACTTCTCTTCCTCTCCTCCTCCTTTGCCTTAGGAAATGAACTGGTAGATATGTAAAAATAAAGCGGGATAGCATTTTGCACTCACATGCTTGAATTTGAGGGTAAAAAACTTACGTGTTATACGGGATTTGACACATCCAAGCAAAGCAAAGTAGCGTTCCTTTCTTTTCGACGGCATCCTTCTATATTGGCGATGAGTGGAGTGACATAATCCTATTCATCATTTTCTATCTACATAAGCCAAAACCCATAGCACTAGCGACGTCTCTAGCATAAATGCAAGGAAGATGTATAACCGATATAAGATCTTAGAGATCCGTGGGTTTGTATATCTAAAATCTCAAAACTATAGTGGCTTCAACACCTCACCTCACTTGGAATTTTAGAGATATGTAGATGGCATAATCTCTTCTCCTTGTCGAAGAGGGGTTATCCTCCTCTCTCTCTTCTCTTGAAATCATCTCTCTTACAAATCTAGAATCTCCAAACTTGCAAGGGGTTTCAACACCTCACTTCTCTTATAGAATTAGAGATCCATAGATGCTCTAATTTCCAATCTTTTCGAGGAAAAGGTTGACGCTCTTCTCTTTCTAAACTTAAAATCTATGATTTAGAAAATCTAAAAATCTCTAGACTACAAGTGGTTGCAACACCTCACGTTTCTTTGAGAATTAGAACTCTAGTTATGCCCTATGCTCCGAGTCCTTTGTAAAAGAGGGACAACCCTCTTCCTTTTCTTCTTTTAAAATATGCAACTTTCCTTTAATGGAGGAAAGGTGTGAGAAGAAGAAATGAGATTATTGGCTAAGGATTTGCCATATTTCCTACATAAAGATTAATTGCCATAAGATCAACTAATAAAAAAATAGGCGAGTCTATCTCTCTATGTACTTGATTGAAGTTTCTAAAATTAGAGGAAGAAGAAGAAATAAGATGATTTTGGTGGTAGAGGAGGAGAAGAAGATGAGGTGGTAGCCACGATGATTTTCAATTGTAGAGAAAGGAGGAGAGACAAGGAAGAAGAAAAGAAAGAAAAGAAATAAGAAATAAAAATAGATTTGCACAAGAAAGAGTTACAATATGGAATATTTTTTGTGACATGTCATGCCATGTGGCATTTTTTTTTTCACCATTTGTCAATTTCAATAAGGAATTTGGTCATATTTCAACAAGAGAAACCACATTAAGAAAATTTGAAGATTATAGGAAAGGGTAATAAAAAAAAAACACGAGAGGCCACATTAAGAAAATCAATAGAGTAGAGGGACATTTGATATGATTAACTCGTTTGGGTGGTCGTGATTTCTTATTGAGGGTTTTTAGACCTATTGCGGTATTTAATTTAGTTTACTTATAACATAAAACACCAAAAAATATCATTAGAATTAGCAATAGTATGCCTATAATAGTTAATTTGGCTCATCTATCTACACGTTTAGAAGATAAACTATCTTGCGGATCGCTTTTCAATCACCACTTTTACTCTTTTGTTACAAAGCCCTCTTACTTGGAACCAACACAAAAGAACTTGTAACAGCTTTTTTTTAGCAACTATATTATGAGTTCTATTCTATATGACAATAAAGAAAACAACAAGTCTTATTAGTTTAGGACGAATATGACTAAAGTCATCCCCTTACAACAACTATTATTATGTAGGAAGAAGGGTTAGAATCGGCGAGACACTAAAGAGCTTGTAACATCATAATAGTAGTTTATTGCAAGAGGTTATGAGTTCAAATCCTAGCATATTAGTTTTGTTAGGAGTCTTGAGTGTGTGAGTTAAAAAAATAAAAAATCAACGAGGCCTCAAAAGGTAGTTAATGTACATGTCTTTATGTTAGGCGAGGAAAGACGAAACTAGTTTGAAGTCCGGTTGAAAGAAGCATGCAAATTGATGAAAATGAAATATTAGGTTTTGACTCAACAAATAGAAGACACATATAAACTAAAAATAAAGTTGATAGAAAATCATTACCAAGAGTTAGTGCTAGCTACTAGCAAGACCATATATATTGTAGTAGAATCTAATGTCAAAGAGAGAAAAAAATGTCATGATAGGAAGAATGTAATATCCTTGACCTAAAATCTCCTTAAATAATTATTTATGTATGAATAGTTTAATGTTTCAATATTATTAATTGTGTGCATATTTAATTAGTTATGTGAATTAATATTTATGTTTGCATAAAAATTATAATTGTGCATGCATAAATATTGTGAGGTGTGAAGGAAATAATTAGTGCCTAATTTAATAAGTATAAATTATTAATTGTTAAGATATAGAAATCCTAGGGATTTAATTGAAAGAAATTAAAAGTTTTTATATTTGATTGAAATGATTGCCACATATGAAAAGAAGGGAGACGATGTTCTATCAAAAATTTAAATATTGCAATATTGTTCTTTTAAGTGTTGTTGAAGGTTTTAATCTTTAGGTTATTATTTATATTCATCTTTTTTTTCCTCGGTATTTTGATCATTGAATCTTTCAGTTTCTAGTTTAGATTTGTTATTTTAATTGCATATTAGTATAGAAAATTGAATTCTTAGTTTAGATTAATGGTTTTTACAAACTATTGTCCTTGTAAATCTGTTGCCCAATTAACTTAGATAGGTCGTGAACTCCTACTAAGAGTTTTTGGATCGCTTGTAGCCGGTTTAATTTATTTTGTTTTCAAGATAAAATACCAAAAACATCATTAGACTCACTAGTGATATATTTAGCATAGTTAATTTGGTTATCTATCTAACTGTTTGCAAGATAGACTGCATTGTAAACTACTTTCCAACTATCCTTTTTATTTTTATTTTTTTACAAAATCCTTTTGATTGCGATTAACATAAAAGAATCCAAACAACAAGTTAAAATATCTTTATATAACATCTGAATTTAAAAAAAAACACAAATAGGAAATAATGAAAAATGAAATACAACATTAGCAACATGTTTAATGAAAACATTAAAGTAAAAGCAACTATATATGTTGAAGAGAAACCTACTGAACCTACTATTTTGCGACCTGCGTTTTTATAAATCCATCAAATAAGGTCATATATTTTTAATTTGGTCAGTTAAATATGTATATTTTCAATTTCAATCAATTGAACATGATTTTACAAAATCAATAATTTTATTTTTAAAAAGTTGAATAAAAAAAGTATAACTGTACAGAGTGAATATATATACAGTATTTATTCAAATGTTTATTATATTTTTATTGGATCTAATGTATAAAAAAATAATTTTGTAAAATCATACTTTAATGATTGAAAATGAAAAAAAAAAGCACGCATTTCATTGATGAAATTAAAAACACTTAGATTCATTTGACTAATTTATATTAACGCAGATTGCAAACAATGGGTTCAGCCGAACCAGAACATGAACAAAGGCAATATAAATACTGGATCTCTACAGCCAAGCGTACAAAAAACAAAAACAAAGCAGTCCCACTCCAGCTTGAAAAAAGAAAAAAAAGAAAAAAGAATAATATTGCAATTTTGACGGCCAAAATGTTCTCAAAATGGCGAAACGCAACTGATAAGGTAAGAAAGCTTGTATTAGAAAACCAAACTTGCTTGCCTTTCACTCGGTGTTTTAGAAACCACGTAAACATGGTAGAGCAGCAGAGTTCATCTTCTAAAGTTCAAGCTTTATACGAACTGTGCAAAAAGACCTTTACACCCTCTGGGGTGCCTGCTTCTTCTCATGCCATCCAGAAACTCTGCTCTCTTTTGGGTATTTCTCTTTTTCTTCTTTTTTTAATCTTTTATATACATATAGTTTTTTCTTGTTGTTTAGTTGAATTCTCAAGTGGGTTTCGTAAATTTGATGTGGGTTTTCCTTTGTTTTGAAGCTGAACTTGAAAAGGTGAAACCTTTTAAGAATAATTGGAATTTGTAAAATTCTTTTTTTTTTTTCTTTATTAGCTATCCCTTCATCTTTATTTGGAATTAGAAAAAATTAATAGATTTGTTGTCATGATGCAAGGACGAAAGCATGTAATGACATACAATAGCAATAGGATTGGAGAAGCCAACACATTATTGCTTTTTGTCACATCAATACATTGATTCCCGAATTTCCCTTATAGTTAGAGGAATTTATTACAATGCATTAAGTTATTCATTACTTGGATTATTACAAAATTTCCTTGCCTGCTTTACTTGTTGTGCAGACACGGTCGGCCCTGCTGATGTAGGGCTTAAAGAGGAACATCAAGATGATCGAGGGCATGGCTTTCTTGGACTTAGTCGGTTGAGTAGCGTTGTGCGATGGGCTCAACCAATAACATATGTAGATATTTATGAGTGTGATAGTTTTACGGTGAGCTTTACCGTCTTCTTTCTGAATTAGATGTTGTTCCTGTTGGGACAGCTGTGTTTCTCATTTTGTTCATTTTCATTTCATATATATATATCAATTTGTTTTGGCAAAATTTGTTAACTATAGTTAACTGATTTAGGACAATTTCACTTCTTAAAATTGCTTCTTTGCAGGTGTTTGTGCTCGTAGATTAACAAAATATTTATGCTGAAGTTCTCCTTAATATTGTTTGGGCAGCTTTTTGCTTGAATTATATATTCTGAATTTTAGAATCTGAGAGCATGCAGGAAGTACAGATCAATGTTTAAACTTGTTTGATATGATGATTCTTTCTACGCAGATGTGTATATTCTGCTTTCCTACTTCTTCCGTTATTCCACTCCATGACCATCCTAGTATGACTGTTTTCAGCAAAGTTCTATATGGTTCTTTGCATGTGAAAGCTTATGATTGGGTTGAGCCTGCCTGTTACCAAAAAAGCAAGGGGCCTGGTTATCCTGCAGGTTTGCCTTTTGAGAGCCTTTTTTCAACATCTGCCCTGACAGTTTAGAACTTTCACAAACTAGCATTCACTTTTTTTTTTTCTTGATTATTCCATAGCCTTCCTCCACTAACCATCAAGAATTGGAATAGTTTGCGTGCTCAGATGGGGCTATAATTCCAAATTATCAACAATTAATGGAGTGTTTTTTTTTTTTTTTTTTTGTTTATCAATTCCTAGTTTAGGCCCAGCTTTAATCAACAACTTTAAATTATTGTAAGCAAGATCAAATAGAAATGAAAATCCATGGATTCAAATGCTTTTTCTGTCAGTTTTCCCTGCAATATATGGAACATACATAAAAGTTCCTCTATATTTCGTTTTATAACCATTGGCTGAAACCTAAGATCTTTCAACCCTATAATCTGACCACATGTTGTTCCAACTAGATAAAACGTTGCCCATCACGCATCACCAAGACAAGCTCAAATATGTTCACGGTGGTTGGGTTAACATTTTTCTGTTTAACCAAAAGCTGAGCAGACTAGTAATGAAATTATTGGTCCAATATAGACAATTTTCAGTTGTTCCATGCTCATAATAGAGAGTTTTTATTCAGAACTAAAAATCTACTGCTCACAAACATGGACACAACATGCCATATTATATGTGTATGTGTATGAGTGCACGTATGCAAGAATGTATGAATCTATGTATACATGAATTGATGTGTGTATGTATCTATGAGCATATGTATGTACTGAGAATTTCTTGGTATTAATTTGTTGAAGTAACCCACTGATGATGTCACTGCTCAGCCTGTTTCCCAGAATATTTTAATTTTCCCTGTAAAGCAGCTCCTTTATCGGCTAAACCATATGCCATCATTGAGCTGTGTTTGAAATTGAAGTTGGTCTGTTGGATTATAGTTCGAAATTCAAACCAATTATGAACTTGCCACCAAATATAGGCCTTTAAAAACTGCATGATCATGGCATTAGATTATGGGACTGACTGGAACTAACATTGTGGACTATTGTCCCCTGCAGTTGTTTGATGGTAGCCGTGCTTTATGCTATTTTTTGGTTTTGTGTTCTGCTTTGTTTTTGGATAAAAAGAGTAAAATAGGTGTCATTGGCTATAGGGTCACTATTTTATTGGTTTTAGTGTGCGAATTGAGTACAAATAGGTGCAGACTAATGGATGCGTATCTTTGGCAGTAAGGTTGGCAAAGTTGACAGTGGATAAAACTTTGACAGCTCCATGTGGGACGTCAGTATTGTACCCAAAAAGTGCTGGGAATCTGCACTGTTTCACTGCCGTCACCCCTTGCGCTATGCTTGACATTCTTACACCTCCTTATAGTGAAGATGCAGGCAGAAAATGTACTTATTACCATGACTATCCTTATTCCACTTTCTGTAAGTAAACTTTATTCGCTTTCATTATTATCATTACTATCATCCTTGCCTTTTCTTTTTGGTTCCTTGCTGTTCTTCTACTATTCTTGCTGCATATATAAGTTGAAGCATGTAATATTCATATTGATTTCTTGTTTAACCATTCAACAAAGCTGAATAGCTTTTTAACACATTGCAGCTATAGGAAATGGAGCTGAGATAGGTGATGAAAAAGTAGATGACTATGCATGGCTTGCAGAGATAGAAACACCTGATGATCTTTATATGCGCCAAGGAGCATACACAGGACCACATGTTCAGGTTTAACTCTCCTCATGTTTGATCAATACATTACCTGTAATTCTCTTCACGGTTTTGTTTTAGATCGCGACCCAGGATCATGCTATTTTTGAGTCTAAGTGCAATATCCCGACTGGAGAGGTGATTGAAATGCTGAAGTTTGAGCTTGATGGATGATTCCTCTTAATTCCATATATGGGGATATCTTTCTGCTCCCTTTCTTTCCTGATTACGATCAAATAACTTGAAATACAGAAAATGCTCATAAATCTGTAACTAGTTCTCAGTAAGTTGTAAGAGTCATCTCTTCCTCTAGTATGTTGCATGTTTGCCCACTTTTAACAAAAATGCATGCTAGTCTGTTGTTTATTCTTTTCTGGTACTCGAGTCTGTCATGCACAGGGTACTTTTAACCGTGCTGGTTGAGACTTTGTCCGAGACCTGCAACTTGTACCAAAATCTGGATGCAAAATGGCTTTGATGGATTCTAGCTTAGGGAACGGTAAGAAGCTTATTATGCTCAGGAGTTGAAAGAGGTTTCCTATGCTAATTATTTTGTTAGTTTGATGAGTGCTCTACTGGATTCTTGTAGAGTCTAGTAGTATTGCATTTAATTTTCTAGGGTTGCGAACGATGTGCTTGAAGCGATCATTTCATGTAAAGCACTTTTCTTTTAAACGTTGATGAAAGGGGAGCCCTGAAATGGATATGATTAGCTGGTTGTTGGCATTTTCTAGCTTGACATCTGCCCAAAACTCTCCCGCTTTTGAACCGATTATTGATCAGTTTTATCAGCATCATATTGGTTGGTTTGATCAACATTCTATCGATTTTGTGATATTCTGTACTGGTATTGAGCAAATTATAGATTAGTCCCTCTTGTTTTGAGAAACGAATTAATTAGTGATATTTGTTTAAAAAACTAATCATTTAGTCTTTTATGTTTTAATTTCATTGATAATTTAGTCATTTTTTTTTAGTTTTCCATTTGAGTGGTAATGAGGTGTCCTTACTTTAGTATATATTTTTTTCAAACTTTCCTCCTTTTATGCATTATTTTTTGTTCTTCGCACACTTTCTTTCTTTCTATCTACTCTAAGTACCTAAACAAATCTGTATTTCTCTCTTCAAATCTCTACTTTTCATTTTGTTTATCTCTATTCTCTTTTTCTGTCCTTAAGTACCAAAGCAAATTCTTATTTCTCTCAAATCTTCTCTTCACAAATATTCATTTCTCATTTTATTAATCTTCACTTACTGTCTCTCTCCTCAAGTACCAGAACATATACCCATGAATGTGAATGAGTATATATGTGTCTAAACAATGGATGCATTCCATTGTTTTTCTCTCTCTCTTTTTTTAAGAAGTTTGATTTCAGTCCTGGAATTTTTTTTTTTTTTTTTTTAAAAAACTCTAGTCTCCGTATATTTTTATTTACAAATTGGTTTACATTTGTGTCTTTATGATGGAATTTTTCACAATTAAGTGATGCATGATTATTCTTAATCTTGTAGCGGTTTCCTATATATATATATATATGTGATGATTGTAATTTAATGGTCATCATAATTGTAACCATCCATTACTTCACAATTTTGAAAATACAACTAAACAGTGGAGTGTAATGGACTCTAAGCAGTTTTATTATGAACAAAGGGGGTAGGTATCATTTTCCTTTTTCGTTTGCAGGGGAACGAACAAACTCTTTGAATGACCAATAAAAGACATGCAGCGCTTTTTGATGAAAACAAAATCCTGAAAGGAGCTTCAGAACGGCCTGTACAGCTCCACATACAGTAATGGATCTTATACATAACATAAATATATTAAAACCTACTGTCCGATATTCCGATCTTAGTCAAATTCCAAAACTAGCACAAGTCATTTATTGTGCTTAACAGGGCACTAGAGTAACCCACAGTTGCTGGACCACCCTTGAGGCTACTGTTGTTCAAGCAAGCAATTTAAGGTGACAAACATGAACCAGAGATGGAGACCTTCAACAATAGTACACAAGTTCACCTTCCTAGCATGCAGCACAACGAAAGGAGAGAATTTAACTAGAAGTGAAGTTAAACAAGTTCATACTTGGTAAAGAAACTTCTCACTATTAAGAGGACAGAACTTAGAAACAGTAGTACATATGTGGAACCAACTTACAGCATTACATTCGACCGAGTTCAACTTTCTCATAAATTTCAGCAAAACTTTCTTATTCGGAGGCACAATTGTTTCAATAAGTTTATAATGCATGGCTGATCAGGCAATTGTGTTTTTAATTGACATCTACGCTGACTGATTCTGTCAAAAATTTCGCTAAACTTTCCAGTTAGACTGGACTTTTAATTCTGGAATTTCATGATGCTGAATTTTGTCCAATCCCTTCTCCACAAAATTTCCTAAGGGGATCTGAAAGCTTCACCGGCATAACGCACATTTCCAAGTTCCTCTTCAATGCGCAGAAGCTGCAAGCAAATTGAAACCCACCAATTAAGCGATGAACATAGATATGAACAAATGAAATAAACAGACCCATTTTCTGTAAAAACTAGGAGAAAACAGACAAGATTACTGAACTAAGAAAGGTTTTAGAGAAAGCAGAATATTCTTGGAAGATGGATAAGAAAATCGTTAGCTTCTGATTTAAGCAGAAAGGGCCCACTTGTGGACAAGATTATTCTTTGTTGTATCTACTTGTACATGTCTAACATCAAAATTTCAGTCCATCAAGAATGTTTTATAAGTAGGGTGTATTAGGTCACCCAATGAAGCCAAATCTCAGAAAATGGTTCTGATTGTAATCAACTTGACCTAACTAGACCTACAGGAAGCTACCACCTTGTGAATCTGCTTCGATCATGCAATACAGAACTGATATCAAAATTATCACCAGCTGCCTTTCAGCCCTCTCCCGATACCATTATGCACGTCTGTGTGTGTGTGAGAGAGGTCTGTGTGTTGTCTAGAGGTAGAAGATGCATCATACTTGAAAAATAAAGATGCTACAAGTAAATGGTGGGGAGGGGTACAAGGAATAAGAAAGAGACAGGCAGAGCAGCATCTGCAGCAATATTTGATAGGGAAAAGAGCAGGTAAACTATAATAAGTTCAGGAGTTTTTACCTGATTATACTTGGCCAACCTCTCACTTCTGCAAGGAGCCCCAGTCTTTATCTATGCAACAGAACATGTACAGTCAATTCCATAAGATCAAGGAAAATGCAGTTATCAGTTTATCTGGCTAAGTTTAAGGAGTCGAGTTAACAAACCTGTCCACTGGCCAAGCCAACAGAAAGATCAGCTATGAAGTTATCCTCAGTTTCACCACTTCGGTGGCTGACCATAACACCCCATCCTGCAGCTTTGGAATCAAGTGCTGCTCTAATGGATTCAGTCACTGTACCTATCTGGTTGACCTGCAAGTCAATAAATCAACTTAAGCTAATTTAATTACGCAGTCAGTAAGGAAAATTTATTTTCACATTTCATTTTCTACGAGCGGAAAAAAAAATAAAGAAGATAAAAGCTGTAATTTCCGTTCAAGGAATAAGAAAAAGAGAAAAAGATAGTTTTGATGATGCTTGCCTTCAATAGTAAGCCATTACAAGCCTTCTTCTGAATTGCTTCAGCGATTTTCTTTGGGTTTGTGACCAACAAGTCATCTCCAACAATTTGGATATCAACTGAAGACTGTAGTGAAGTCCATGAACTCCAATCATCCTGGTCAAAGGGATCTTCAATAGACACAATAGGGAATTCCTTAACAAATTCCTTGTAGAGGTCACCAAGGCTTTGGGCTGAGATTGCATGAGCTCCATCATTTGGTTGGTTTTTAAAGTTCAAGTCGTATTTTCCATCTTTGAGAAACTCTGAAGCGGCAACGTCCATTCCTATCTTGATCTGCATCATTATTTTGAGTTCAAATGAAGTATAAGAAAAAGTTTACATGCAGCAGAAACTGATAAAGGAACTGACTGATGTCTACCTTTCCTGTGTAGCCAGCATTTTCAATCGCATCAATGAGCAAAACCAGTCCTTCCCTGTTATCCTGAACATTGGGAGCAAATCCCCCTCGTCCCCAACATTGCAAGCATCTTGTCCATACTTTTTCTCGATAATTTTCTTTAGTGTATGATACACTATCATATTAAGAAAAAAACAGTTATCCACTGCTGCCATAACGGACAAGGAGTTATTAAAGTAGAGGGCATATTAAAGAAAATGTTCATCCATGGTCATAATAAAAATGTTCAGAAACCACATTACTAGAAACTGCAGGTGAAACCACTACATAAGGTCGACAACAATATTAAATCCACACTTTGATTAACAGCGCTAAACTAAAAATGCTTTAATTCTTTTGTCTTTTTTTTTCTTTTTCAAGGTAGAGGAAACAATTAGATATCGAAAAAACATTGTCAATCAAAACCAGGAAGAATCATAAATTCTTGCATGAAGTTGGGAGAACCAAAAGAATTAGTGAGCTAACCTTCGCTGCCCATGCGGAGAGCTTCAGCGAATGTAGTTGCACCTACAGGAAGAATCATAAATTCTTGCATAGCCAGATTATTTCCAGCATGACTGCCTCCATTTATGACATTAAAAGCAGGAACAGGCATAACAAGCTCCTTGGTTCCTGATATTTCCTGGATGTGTTTATACAATGGCACTCCTTTCGCCCCCGCACCAGCTCGGCACACGCTCAGAGATACTCCAAGAATTGCGTTAGCACCCAGTTTTGCCTTATTAGGAGTTCCATCGATATCCAGCATTAAAGCATCCACATCAGCTTGGTTTCTTGTCCAATATCAAAACACAAGATTATGCAGCTCAGAAATTCATTCCGCTTTCTTGCAATCAAATATATAACTAATCGCATCCTATAAATCACTAGCATCTCACAACCCATAAACACATGCAAAAAAAAAATCACATTTACATTTCCAAAAGATGGGGGAAAAACAGAGAGAACTTTAGAAAACAAGAAATATATAGGAATCGTAAGTATATGAAAAAGGGATTAATCTTATAGTAATATTTACCTGACATCAACACCAAGAAGCTTAGGACCCAAAATATGGTTAATGTTATGAACTGCATTAAGCACACCTTTGCCACCATAAACACTTTTATCTCCATCTCTAAGTTCCAAAGCCTCATAGATCCCAGTGGAGGCCCCACTTGGTACAGCTGATCGATAAAGCTGATCATCAGTGATGAGATCAACCTCAACCGTTGGATTCCCTCTGCTATCAATGATCTGCCTCGCCTTCACTGACTTCACCTTGCATTCTTTAGCAATCTTGACCGCTGATGGTGGAGCCACAGTCACCGAGTTTCTAACAACTAAAGACCGAGGTTTTGGGGTTGATTTGGGTTGTTTAGTAGAAAAATAATCAAGTAATGGAGTTTTTTGGTTGAGGAAGTTGGTGGTTGGTTGTGTAGCTAAGGCCATTTTGCTTTCGCTTTTCTCGTTTTCTTACCTTTACTTTTTCTCAAAGGCCTATATGCAAGTGTTTTGGCTCTTGAAGGAAGTATTGGGTTATTTGGGTTTAAATAAATAAAAAAATGAGGGAGAGGGGGACGTGGAAATGTCCGCCGGAGAGCGATGAAAGCAAAGGGTTGGTTTGGTGGAGAGAAGTATTGTAGCTTGGTGTCAGGTCAGCTGTCTCAGGCTGGCTTATAATTTTGGTGGTTGTTGAACTTCAGTCAAGGTGGAAAACGTTGTCGTACAAGTCACATGGCAATTTACGAAAAGAATGGCTGAGTGGTTAGGTGGGAGGCTCGGTTTATTTCTTTGTTGCTTCATTCGGTTGGGTGGGGTCAAGCTAACTAGTAGTATTTTTTTTTTTTTAATCTTTTGAGAGATGGAGGGTCCCATTTGTCATTTTTGGGGTGGGCTGTTCTTCCGAGGATAGGTTTTGGCTGGGAGGGCTATGTAATTACTTAAATGCCTCTCTCTTTCGCTAACGTTGGATGAGAAACTTCGCAACGCTAAGATCAGAATTCATTGCCTCAACAAATTCAGTAAATTACACATTCATCTAAAGACTATTACTAAATATACTAAAAGAGCTGGCGAATAATGCAGTGAATTCATGTAGACACAAAATACTATTTATTGGAAGCATTTTTTGTTATTTCTATGACTTTTATGGCAATTTCCCACGGTTTTTTAAAGGGTTTTTTCTTTTCATTCTAATCCTAAAGTTCATTTGAAGTACATTTTGTTTTTTAGTGCTATTAATGAAGAGAGAAGGACGAAAATTAAAGAGAAAATATGTATGGAAGTGAAACGTGCAGTTATGGGATTTAGAGTGTCAAAAAAATCGGATAGTTGCTCTCGATTTTCTCATATACAGGCACATCGTGGCTTGGCCTCCTAACCTTGAACCTAAACGCGTCGAGTTCGGCCCGGGAGGCACCGGGCTTGATTTCTTTTATTTTTTTTCAATATATTTAGTTTTCAATTATTTTTTTTCTTGATGATTAAAATTTTTGTGAGATTCTGCAATTAATTCCTACACATTATATTTCTTTTATACACAAACTTATATTGTTTTTTCTGTGTTCCCAATGACATACAGTTTTAAAATTATAATAATGTTTTTTTTACACGACTTAAAATATATTGTTAAATATACATATAATTGTTTTTCTTTTTATTTATTGAAGAGTGTCAAAAAAACATATAAAAATCAATAAAATTATAGATAAATTGAGATCTCATTAAACTAGAATTCGAATTGAAATATACACTAGAATTTATTTTTAAAAACAAAATTTTCGATACAAATGGTCTAAATTCACATTGATTTTGTTGAAAGAAAGAAATAGAAGCAATTGGAAGGAAAACTTTCCCACACTTTATTAACGTGAGCTTAGTGCATATATATACAAGTTGCGAGAGAAGAATTACCAATAACTAATTCTAGCTAACTATAACTAATCTATAATTAAGAAAGCTAATTGATGATTAGTTACGATATCGTGCAAAACAGATCAAGCAACAAAAAAAGAGAAGATGCCATGCTTCACGGGTGCGAGCAACAAGTATGCGAGTGCGGGCTTAACGGATTTGCGAGTGTAGTTGTGAATGAAGAGAGAAGCCTTTTTGGCGTGCGTGGTTTGTTGCTTCACGAGTGCGGAAATAACTTCCAATAGCCCCCCTCAAGCTGCGGCATACGGATTGTGTATGCAAAGCTTGGAAATGATGGCATGAAAGGCGGGAGCATGGAGAGACTTGGTGAAGCAATCGGCGAGTTGATGAGCGAAAGTAACGAGCGAGAGCTTAAGAATTCTCGCTTGTAATTTTTCACGAACAACATGGCAATCAATGTCAATATGTTTCGTGCGTTCATGAAAAGCTGGGTTTTTAGCAATGTGTATGGCGAGAGAGATTATCACAAAAAGAAGAGCTGAGTGAGGGTGATCAATCTTCAAATCTGCTAGTAAATAGAGTAATCATTGGATCTCACGAGTGGTCGTGGCAAGAGCTCGATATTCGGCTTCGGAGGAGGAACGTGAGGCTCGTGGTTTGTTTCTTGGATTTCCAAGATATGAGTGCGATACCAAGAAATATACGAAACCACCGATCGACTTTCTAGTTGTAGGACATCTCGCCCAATCGAATGCGAAAAACCCTTTAACTGGATTGTGGAATCGGTGGGAAAGAACAAACCTTGACCGAGTGCGGCTTTAATGTATTTAAGGATTCTATGAGCGAGCGAAGGTGAGATTGAGTGGGTTTATCTAGGAATTGAGAGAGTTCTTTGCACTTGCGAAAGGATAAATCGAGTCCGGTGATGTTGAGATATAGAAGTCCGCCTATGAGCCTTCGTAAGATGTGATATCATTAAGAGGAGCGACGATCATCTTGAGTCAGCTGAGATCGAGAATGCATGAGGGTTTTGGCAGGTTTGCAAGCAAGGAAGCCGGTATCACCGAGCAATTCAAGGGCATATTTTCGCCGACAAAGGTTTATCCCGGATTGTGTTCTTGTAACTTCCAAACCAAGAAAGTAATGAAGATGACCAAGATCTTTAATTTGGAATGTAGTATGCGAGGAATTGTTTCAAGGCATCAATACAAGCCATACTCGTTACTAGTAAGGATCATATCATCAACGTAAACTAGTGCAACGAGTGAAACCGGAATTAGTGGATTTGATGAAGAGTGAATGATCGAGTTGGCTCGTGTAAACCCTTGTTGAAGGAGAGTCTGCAGAGAGTTTGGAAAACCACCTGTCTACTAGCTTGCTTGAGGCCATATATAGACTTTAATAGTCCGCAAACCTGATTTGGTTTAAGAGAGAGATAACCTAGAGGAAGATCCATGTACACCTCTTCATGCAAGTCACCATGAAGAAATGCATTATTAACATCCAGTTGTTGTAAGAACCGAGTTGTGAGCGATAGCTATAGCTAGGAGTGTTCGACAGGTAGTTATCTTTGCAACAGGAGAGAAAGTCTCTAAATCATCGATTCCATTTTGTTGAGTGTAGCCACTTGGCCACAAGTCCGGCCTTATGTCTTTCGATGGAACCATCGGCTCTATGTTTGATCTTGTACACCCATTTACATCCAATGGATTGTTTGGAGGCGAGGTAAGTCGATGAGTCGCCAAGTCTTGTTATTACGAAGAGCAATCAACTCGGCTTGCATGGCATCCCTCCAACAAGAATGTTGAATGGCTTGATTGTATGTAGTAGGAGTGGAATGAGTACGATGTTGATGGCAAAAATTTGATGATCAAGGGGAACATTAGAATAAGATAAAACGAAGTTAACAAATGAGGAGAAGAAAAAATACCCGAAGGAGCAATTTTTGTACACGATGTAGAGGATGAATTGGATTGAGGCAATAATGATGCAAGGTTGCAATGATAATCTTGAAGATAGGAAGGGGCTGTGTGAATTCGGTGGATTTACGTAGAGGAGCGAGATGGAGAGGAAGATGATTGAGCGAGGAACGAAGAGTTAGGGGCGAGAGAGGGATGTATCGGTAATAACAAATGGATCACATAGAGGGTCAAGATGTAAAGTGGTGGTAGGTTTTATGGAAGAACAAGGTGTATCGAGTATCGGTATTGGTGGGGAATGTATCCCGGTAGCAAAAGGAAGGAGAATGAAAGGGAAAAATGGTTTCATGGAAAATAACATTTACGGAGACAAAGAATTTTCTCGGTGTGAAGATTATACGAGCCTATATCCTTTAATGCCATAAGGAAAACCCAAAAATATGCATTTGGTAGCCCTAGTATCAAACTTGGATCGACCTTGATCGGTTGTGAAAGCAAAACATAAACAACCAAAAACCTTGAGATAACGGTATGAGGGTGGTTTGTGGTATAGTAGGTCAAAAGGTGTGTGATTATGAATGACGGATGAAGGTATTCCGTTTATCAAATAAACGAGCATGAAGGACACAATCAACCCAAAAAGAAAGAGGAAGGTGTGCTTGAAAACGTAGAGCTCTAGCAACATTTAGAATGTGTTGATGCTTTCTCTCCACAACACTATTCTGTTGAGGAGTGTGAGCACATGATGTTTGATGTATAATGCCTTGAGCGGCATAGAAATGCGGCATGGCAAATTCCTATCCACGATCGGTGCGAATGCATTTAAGAGAAAGAGAGAATTGGGTTTTAATGAAAGTACAAAAATGTTGAAGTAATGATCTAGCCTCGGATTTAGTTTTCATGAGAAAAACCCAAGTAGCTCTACCGAAATCATCTGCAATGGTCGGAAAGTACTTGTGTCCTTGAGTGGTACAAACGGACATGGGACCCCAAATATCGGTGTGAACTAGATCAAAGCAAGCATTTGTAACGTAAATGCGACGGAAATGGTAATTTCTTTTGTTTAGCAAAGTGACAAATGTCACAGATTACATCGGGATGAACCGAAATAGAAGGATCTATATCTTGTAAAAGTTTGACCACTAGGGATAGAGGCATGGCCTAATCAGTTGTGCCAAATTTGAGAATGAATTGAATCATTTTGTGTAATGCTATTTATAGAACCAAGGGGTACATCGAAGAAGTTGTGTTTCGCAGGAGCTGAAGTTGAGGATGAACAAGGTGATACAAACCGTGCAATTGTTTACCCAATCCAATCGTCCTCCAACATGCAAGGTCCTGGATAATGCAAGAATCGATTTAAAAATAACACGGTAGTTAGAATTTTGACAAAGTTTGCTTGGTAGAGATGAGATTAAATGAAAAAATAGGGACAAAAAAAGTCGAATGCGGTATAAAATCGGGAGAGGATTGAACTTGACCAATGTGAGAAACATGTGTAAGATGACCATTTGGGAGTTTTACAAAAGTGTTAATGACAGATTTATAGGAGGTAAAATAATCAAGAGAACAAACAATGTGATCCGTTGCTCCCGAATCAAGAATCCAAGTGTGATTTTGAAATGTTTTTGCATTGTTTAAAAAAGAACATATGGA